TATATATATATATATATATATATATATATATATATATTAATATATTATATAATTATATTATATAATTTATAATAAAATTATAATATATTATATAATTATATTATATTATATTATATTATAATTATATTATATAATTTATAATAATTATATTATATAATTTATAATAAAAAAAAAATATATATATATATTTTTTTTTTATATTAATATATTTACTTAAATTAAAATTTTCTTTATTTTAACCGAGTGAACAATACTCGGTTTAAATGAAGAGAATTTTATTGAAGTAACTATGTTAATGATACTCACCTAATAAATATTTGTTTATTTTTAGATATTTTTTTTCAGTATGAATTTATCAAAATCTTCAGTTGATGCGCGCACATAGTTCGAGACAGAGAGATCATGGTTACACGCGTCGTTTCTTGTCGAAGGGAACAGTAGGGTGGAGAAAATCCGCGAATAATCAGCAGCAGGTGGCAACGCTCTTGCCGTACGATCTTTCCTATCTTGTTGCGTGCGATCGCGCGATATATCTTGGCTTGATTGGGAGAAATTTTCAAGCAGAAGAGCGTCCCGGAGACCCTCTCTCGCGGGCGATAAGATACACGCCGATAAACCGCTCATCGATGTCCCGTCCGTGAATGCAATTCACCTGCACGCGTCTGAGATCCGCAATTGAGAGGACGCCAAGATGAATGACGAGCTCTAAAATCGTCATGTCAAACAAGCACTAACACGATCGTATCTTCGTGTTTCTTATACAACGACTTAGATTAATGAAGTTGGCAACTCACCAGACTGTCAAAACTGAGGATCATTGCTAACGGGCTTGCTTAGCAATTATATTATTAATTGTTATTATTATTAATTATTATTATTACTATTATTATCTGTTATTACTTAGTGGTCTTAATTATATTATTAATTATATTACTATTACATAAGTCACAGTCGATAATGATACTAAATTTTGTCAGTTTGGTAAGTTTCTAACTCATTCATTGCGTCTATATCGTTTTGCAACTCACTGTATACTCATGGGCGGAAAGGTTGTCTGGTTTCTTTCTGTAAGTTTAGGAACCTATCCTTCTTGTCCAATAGCAGAATTTATTTTCCAATAAAAGAACTCTCTCATTGAATAAGACGGATAACTTACGAAACTTACGAAAAGAACCAGACAACCTTTTCGATCACGAGTGCAGCTCTTGTATAAAGGATGTACTATGTTTTTATTTACTATATTTAGCAGAAAACATAACCACACGTAAATAATATAAAGCTTTTTACAAACTTCTCGTATAAGCTTCCAAATTCTCGTTTTAAGCTTCCAAATTCAGTTGTAAAAGTACAGCAATGTTCTTTGAAATTTTCCTGTGAACGAAGAAAATAAAAATTATACAGAATTTTTATATCAGACAAATATTTAAGTTAATTGGACAGTTCGAGATA